ATTGCAACTCCCGCCTGTTTATGGGGGCCGTTTGCTTGGTAGATTTTGTTCCAGCCTTTAACATTGAAAATATGTTTGTTTTTACGGGCAAGATGTGACTCCTGCAGGCAGCAGATAGAAGGGTCTTGTTTTTTGATCCAACTAGACAGTCTATGTCGCTTAATTGGAGAGTTCAGTCCATTAACGTTAAGAGATAGGACTGAGAGGTATTTGGGAGTTCCTGCCATATACACAATGGAATTCTATGCCTCCATCAGAAAGAAGGACATTGCCCCATTTGTTAGGAAATGGAAAAACTTGGAAAAAATTATATTAAGTGAAGTAAGCCAGGCCCAAAGAAACATAGGTCCCATGGTTTCCCTTATTTGCAATATCTAGTATAGGTATGAGTCAAGCGGAAAAGGTCAGATAATGTGATGTCAGGAAAATGAACCCTTAGATATGTATTTTAATGTTTTTTTCTTTCATGCATGTGTTTCTAATGCATTTATAAGATTATCTCTTTGTTGCTTTGTATGTCCCTCCCCCACAGTATAACCCCTGCTTTCACTATATTTGATGTCAGTATAACTTGTGGAGGAGATGGGGAAAAACCAGTTGTTTAAGGATACAGGTGGTCCTGTTGCAACAATGAGAAGTACAAGTTGTCATGTCCAAAACGAGCTTTACAACGTCGGTGCGGGGGGGGGGGGGAAGGGGGGGGAAGGAGAAGGATTGGGATTGGGGGGGAGGGGGGAGGCTGGGAAGGGAGGTGAAGGGTAAACAAAGGAGGAGGCTGCAATGCTTGGTAAGAAATGTATGCATTATCCTGCCCATGTAATTGTAACCCCTCTGTACAGTATGTTCACAAATAAAATTAAATTAAATTAAAAAAAAAATAAAGTTCCTCACGGGGAGGGTGGAAGCCGGACAACAAAGCACTTTATAGAGTAGGCTGGGGTGTGGTCAGTGGTAGAATGCCTGCCTAGCGTGTGTGAGGCCCTGGGTTTCCTCCTCAGCACTACAAGCAGCTCCACACTGGAAGGATGCCCCTGATTTCCCCATGCAGGACTCAGCTACATCTCACTCAAGGCCCAGCTGGACTCCACAGAGGCCTGGCCTGGCCATGCTGTGCAGATTCACCTCCATCTCCCCGGTTCTGATCTCAGCATGATGTTCACTCTCCTCCCCAGCCTCCCGCCTTCCAGGAATTCTTCCATTTGTTTTATCTGTTACTACTTTTCTTCCAGCAAGAAGTATGTCTTCCCTGAGAGACACCACCTACTTCTCTGTCCATCCCCAGGACCTTGACTAATGCCTGGCTCCCAACAAGAGTCTTCCCTCTTTACAAGCTATCATCTGTGAAGTCTCAGTTGTCAAACAGGGCTTGTGTGCCAGGCATGCAGATGGGGAAGGGGAGGTCCTGAACAGAGCCTCCACTTGCCAGGGGTGACACCAGACACAGCACCCAGAGAGAGCACCCAGGGCCATGAACCTTGCCAAGACCCCTGGCAGGAGAAATGAGACTGGCTGTATATCAGCATGAAGATCACACCAATGTTATCTAAGGGGAAATCCCCTAGACTATAGGACATTCTAGAAGCACAGGGGTGGAATGAGAGTACCACAAATGCATGGGAAGCATCTGGGCCTCCAGTGGAGTGACACTGAAGTTGGTTGTGTTTGTACTTTGTACACATCTTGTTTTCATCTTGTGCTTCACTGATGTAGTGTCCCATTGCCTGAACTGTCCCAGTGTCTACCATCTGGCCTGGCTGGCTGAGGCCTTGGGAGCTGATGGGTGGTACAAGGCAGCGGGCCCTCCCTGCTCTAGTGGAGCTCACTGTGACCTTCTCCCCCAGCTTCACTCACAAAGTGCAGCCAGGTGACTCACAGCTGCCTCTTCAACATGGGGCCTGCAGCAGCATCTTGGAAAGCCCATATGCCACTATGGTAGCTGCTACCATGCTTGGCAATTGTAGCAAGACAATGGAGGCGTTCATAGCCATGGAGTACCCACAGGGCCCCTGAGTGGCCTGCCTGGCATACAGTCTGCTGCAATGACGACTCACAGTGCAGGGTCTGTATCCTAGGGCAAGCAGGTGGCTGGCAGCACGGTGAAGTTAAAACACTGTGCCCTTCCTAACCCACAAAGGCCTCCATTTCCTGCTGAGCCTCCTTCCACCCCCTGGCTATGAAATGCCCCAGAGTGTATGGGAGAGCTTACACTCAGGCTCAGGACCAAGCTGGAAATCAGCATCAGCTCCAGGGAACTCTGCTGACACACTTCGTGGGGCAGGGAAGAAGGGGGCATAGGTGGGCACAGTTCAGAAGGGGTGCTCTAGGTGATAGGTGAAGACAATCTTGACCAGGCCATTCATGCCCTCCTGTAGACCGGGGACTTCCCACAGGGACATCACCCAGAGATCTGGGAGCTAACCCTACCTCCCCCGCCCCCAATCACCCCCGACAGCCAATGGTTCACAGACCATAGGAAAAACACCTGAGCAGCCAGGTATCCCCTTGTCTTAAGGCAGGACCTGCAGTGTGGTTGGACCCCAGAGCACCTGGGGGCATCAGCACAAGGACTGACTTTGAGACCTCATCCTTGTTCCTCAGCCCTGACTCTCAGCTGCGAGGTCACATAGAGAAGGAGCACATAGAGTACCAAGTTCTGAAAGACCAAGATGGCAGATTCACACTGAACATTCAACTAAGGGTTTTCTGGAGGGCAACGGACCCTCCCATCCATAATGGCATTGAGTGTTCTCTACAAGAGACCCGACTGTCTGCCCCAGTGCCCAGCCACTTCCAGCTCTACACCACCCACTCACCATGATCACGCTGTGTCATGGCCTTGGTGCATGTGCCTTTTCCATCTTGTAGAAAGCAGAACAAATCCTGATTGACCAACTTGAGCCAGAGGTGCCTGAAGCAGATTGTAAATTCTAAATAATTAAATATGAATCTCCACAATTTACCTAAGCAAAGCTTTTTCCTTTCTTTTTATTTTTCTCCCAGTCATGGGACTTGAACTCAAGGCCTTGGCACCGTCTCTGAGCTTTTTTTTGCTCAAGGCTAGCACTCTACCACTTGAGCCACAGTGCCATTTCTGGCTTTTTCTATGTATGAGGTACTGAGGAATGGAACCCAGAGCTTCATGTATGCTAGGCAAGCACTCTACCACAAAGCCACCTTCCCAGCCTACTTTTTCCTTTCTTAATAGTCCTTAAGGCCAGTGAGAAAGACAACCACTGTGGGCTCCACCAGCCATGCCTGGGCCTCTCCCTGCTCTGACCTCACAGGGGCCACTGTGATGGAGTGAGGGCCCAGCGCACATAAGGAAGCGACCTGGACAGCATTTGAGTCCACCTAGCAGGAAGCTGTTGGCGGTGACCTGCTGGACTCGCAGCTAGCTGCTCTGTGTGCTGTGTGGTGATTGTGGTTTGCTTTCCCAGTATTTCCCCTTTTGTCTGGCCATCTGTTGGGTTTTGTTTTTCCCTTTCCTTTCCCTTCCATCCCGTCTTGGGCCGCATGGCTCATTCTTCTCTGTGATGTTTAGTGACATTGAGGAGGAGGGATCTTGGCTGGGCTCTGGGGACAGCTCCTTGGAGGAGCTGCTCAGGGCTCAGTACCGGGTCCTGAGGGACATTGGGGAGGGCGGCTTCGCAGAGGTGAAGCTGGCTCAGCACCTTCTCACCCACACCCTCGTGGCCATCAAAGTCATCCCTAAGACCAAGGACGATGCTATCCTTAACATGGAGAGGGACCTCATGAGGTCACTGGACCATCCCAATGTGATAAAGCTGTACGAAATCATAGAGACGGACGAGCTGGTCTACCTGGTTCTAGAATATGCAGAACGGGGCAACCTTCAGGACCTGGTGGACACTGTGGGCTGCCTGTGGGAGGAGGAGGCCCGGTCTCTCTTTAGGCAGATAACACGTGCCATGTGCTATTGTCACAACATGGGCATTGCTCACCGTGACCTAAAATTAGACAACATTTTGCTTGACGCCCAGGGCAAGCCAAAGCTTTGTGATTTTGGCCTGGGCGTTAGGTGCCTGGAAGGCCAGAGGTTGCAAATGGTGTGCGGCACCCTGCCATTTTGTGCGCCCGAAATCCTGACTCACGAAAGCTACGATGGCACCAAGGCTGACGTCTGGAGCCTGGGCGTGGTGCTGTACACCTTGGTGGTGGGGCGCCCCCCGTTTCGGGGAATCACGACCATGCAGATGGAGAAGGCGGTGCTGAAGGGCGAGTTCGGCTTCCCCGCCCACGTCTCCGGTGACTTCCGGGATTTGGTCACCAGCATGCTGGCCGTGGACCCAGAGCGCAGGCCCTCGCTGCAGTGCGTGTTGGAGCACCCCTGGCTCCAGCAGGGGGTGCAGGAGCCCCCAGCTCCGGAGAGCCACCCCCCGCGCCCGGACCTCTCCATTTTGGAAGCCATGGCTGGTATGGGCTACGACCCACAGCAGGTGAAAGAGGCCTTGAGTGCCAAGAGCTACAATGCGCTCATGGGCGTCTACCTGATGCTGGAGCAAAAGAAGTCAGAGTCCGGGGACCAGAGCGACCACCCGAAGACCCTGCATCCCGCCATGGCGCTCACCGGGGCTCTGTCCTTGCGTGTCCCCCCAGCCAGATCCAGTGCGTTTGCCCTGCGCTCCTTCGCCCGCAAGGAGGACCAGAAGGGCAGCACCCAAGCCCTCCACGTGTCCCCAGCCTCCTCCCCTCCCCTCCCGGCCCCAGCTCCAGCCCTCGACACCCTGGTGGAGACAGAGGACAGCAGGTCCCACGAAGGTCCAGCAGAGTCCCAGGACTCGCCCCCCGCGGGACAGAGTTATGTCGGGGTGAAGAGCAGAAGGGTGCGGAAGAGACTGAGGAGGTGCCTGACGTGGCTCCGAGGGCTCTGTTGCTGCTTGCCGTTGGGAAAGACAGAGTGCCGGAACAAAGTCGTCCCTGTGGAGAGCGAGAAGAGCGAGGACAGCGAGGACAGCGCGGAGAGGCTGGAAAGCAGTTAGGTGGACACGGAGCTGGGCTGTTACGTTTTGGCTCTGCTATACTTAATACCCTTGCCAATTCCTAAGCAAACGTTCTTTGGTTCCCAGGGGCTGGAGATGCATGGGGAGGAGAAATGTAGGGTTGTTCTTGGGGATGGATTTCCAGAGAGAAAGAGTCAATATAGCACCACAGTTACAGCTGGTGCCGTGTGCAGAGGAGTAAGTGATGGCTTTTCCCCTGTGTGCCTGCAGGAGCGAATCCTGACCTGGTTATTGGGGATGGGCCAAGCAGGAAGGTTGCTAGTGTGTCCACACATGTCCCGGCTGGACTCTCTCCAGCACATGGGGAGTTGTGCAACCAGCCACAGACAGAGGAAGTCTGGCCTCCAGAGCTAGCATCCTTTGCAGAGGATGCTTGAGCCTGCCTGGAAGTGAGTATCCCCTTGGCTTCCACCTGACTTTTTCTTGGGTGTTAGAGATGGTTCCTAGGAACCTGCTCCCTAGGGAAAGGGGATCAACCACTCCTGCAATATAACATGAACCCATTCCTGCAGACAGATCCTCTGTGACCCTACCATCTCTGCTAGCCCACCCCAGCTCTGCTGCACTACAGCTGTGTCTAACACATCAGCCCTCGCCACCTCCATCCACATCTGCCACCGTTGCACTATGAGGGGAAGAGCAAATGTAGGACAGTCCCCCACTGCCTGGCTGTGCAGCCAGATATTCCTAGCCACTGCTAAGGCTGGCATCCTTATTACTGAGCCTTCCAAGGCTTGGCAAGGTCCCAGAGGGAGGGGCTACAAAGCTGGCTGGCACAGGAGAAACATCGAAGAGGTTGTGGGATAGGGCAAGCCAAGCCAAGAGGCTGAGTGAGTGGTGAACTGCTGGCTGACACAGTTTTGGGAGCTGAGGAAAGATCAGCCAGAAGACAAAGAATGTGGAGTTGGAATTGTCTGGAAGCCTGTCCACCCCCTATCCACCTACCCAGGTCAACCATGCAGGATCAGGATCCTGGTTGGCAGAGAAGGGGTTAAGGAACCCCTTGCACTTTGTGTGCATGCGGATTGACCTAGGACCCTTTATGAAGCAGGTGCTGAGAGCTTAACCCTGTGATATTAGTTATTCAGCAGGCTGAGATTTGGGAATCGAGGCTCAGAGCCAGTCTATTCAGACTCTAATCTGAAAAAAAGTCTAGACAGACTCTAATCTGAAAAAAAGTGGCTAGTGAAGGTATGGCTCAAGTTGCAGAATCTCAGCCTTGAGCACATCAGCTGGGCAAGAAGGTAAGTCCCAGTACTAGCACAAAACAAGAGAAACAAACAAACCAACAAAATATGGACAAAACCCTCTGTGAAGAAATGGTGGTTCTTAAGTTTAGAGAAAAGGCAAAGATTCTGCCCTACTAGCCACGGGGGCAATCATGAGGCTTGCCATTGTGTTTGGTAGCTAGTAGTTTTTTAATTTCTTAAGGTGAAGTCATAGGATGGATGCCACAGACATGGACAGAAGTCTAGGCATCCTTAGATTGGATGTTGGTCTAGGGTAGAATGTTATCATTGTGGTCAGGGCCTGTTCGTGGGGTTCAGGATTTAATACAGGTATCAGGCTACATTTTAGTACTGCAGCAAATGCTCAGTACTGTAACTAATGCTTGACATAAACAACTTAAAAAAGGCTTATTGGTTCACAGCTTTGGTGGTTTCACTTTAGCTTAGATGCTTTTCTCTTGATTTGTGTCTGTGATCACAGAGGGAGTATGGGGGAGGGTAAGGTCATTAGCCTCATGGCTGGTGTACAGAGAGGAAGAGGAAGAGTCTTGGGTCCCAATATCTCCTTTCCAGTGCACATCTTTAGTGACAGAACACTCCCTCAGCCCCGCTCCCTTACAGGTTCCACAGTACCATGGTCTGGGGACCAAGTCTTGCTTATTCCAGCCATGGCAATATCCAAGTGGAGATCCCAGCAGACAGTGCAGTGGGCTGCCAGCAGCTCCTAGAAGTGTGGGAAGAAGTGAGCCATCAGGAGAGAATGTGGCAGAGAGAGGAAAGGCTGAGGGAACAGGCATGCTGTGGTGAAGGTGCTTAGGGGAAGTCAAGAGGTGTTTTTCTAACACACCTCTGGGTATGCTCTAGCTTTTGAATTACCAATCAAACTCAATAACTATGTGTGGTCTCCATATTTCTTCTCTGTGGGCACTTGACACATTTTTTTTTTTGGTCGGCCGTGGGGCTTGAACTCTGGGCCTGGGCGCTGTCCCTCAGCTCTTCAGCTCAAGGCGAGCGCTCTACCACTTGAGCTACAGCGCCACTTCTGGTTTTCTGGTGGTTTATTGGAGATAGGAGTCTCATGGTCTCTCCTGCCCGGGCTGGCTTTGAACCGCGATCCTCAGATCTCAGCCTCCTGAGTAGCTAGGATTACAGGCGTGAGCCACCAGTGCCCGGCTTTGACACATGTTTTGAGTGCATTCTGCTATGATATTTATTGAGACTGCAGTTCTGAAAATTCTAATACAGATAGTGAGTGGCAGAGCCCAAACGGAATCCAGGTTTTCTCCCACAAATTTTCTGATCTGCCCAGTGTTGCAGGTCTGGCTTCTGCTGCCTGAGGCTGCCCTTTGCCTGGCAGATAGAAATCCCTGCTGGCCCTTGGTTGTCATTCTGGAGGCCTGGCTCACTCTCCCTGGTGAGGATCATGAATAAGAGAGTTGCCCCTGTCTGTCCACTGACTCAAGGTTGCCATGACTGCACCTCTCCCTCCCCACTTCACCTGAGCCATGAGCACAGTGCTGGGTGCCACTGGGATGAGATCAAGGGATGCAGGCTGGTGTGATGGACTATGGAGGATCAGGGATGAGTACACACCTCCATGGTTCACAGGCTGGCTGGGGGACAGGTCAGGAAAGCAGGCATATTCATGCCATGCCTGCAGTGATCCCATCTCCTAAAGAAGAAGGGAACCGTGGTGCTAGGGAATGACCCCCTCAACAAAGATTCAGGGTAGAGTGGCTATGGGGCTGAAGACGCCAGGAAGTGTGGCCTGGCTCTGGTTTGGCAGTTTTTCACAATGTGGACCCAGGCTGGATATTTTGAAAGATCAGTGTGTGGGAAGTCAGGCTTCCTGGTGTTACGTCTCTCAACGGCTGTCTTTCCACGCTAATATATAACATCCACCTAGAGACTCTGTATGTCTTACATAGACTGTTGTGCACCTGAACTGTATGCAATTACACATTTTTTTTTCAGATTTGGAGATAGTTGTTTGAAAGCCACAGAAAGTGAGACCTTGGTGCATTTCTGATTCCCTATTTTTGAATGAGGAACACGCTTGCCAGTGTGTATGCCCATGAACCTTCATTTGTGGATGAGGCCAGGGGCTCTTCCTCTCCCTGAAGCATCCTTGTGATTGGGAGGATGTTCAGTTTGTAACAAGAGGCCAGAAAATACTGCAAGATATTTCACAGGGCTAAGCTTGCCACAGATTTGTCACCAAATCCTCAGACCCTTATGCCAGCCTCACACTTAGAAACAGTGCGGTGAGGCTGAGGAGCTCCTATGATGCATGCACACATTCTGGTGGTTCTGGTAAATGCACAGAATCCATGCTTTGTCCTGCCTCTTCCAGGCCCCTGTGGCCATATCTGAGGCCACCTGGATTGTTTGGGATAGGACAATCAGCACCTTATGGTGATGTGGAGGGATGCTGTTAAATATCCTATAAGGTTCAACTTGGGGGAGGGCAGGGGTCAGGAGGGAGAAAACTGGAAGAGAATGAGGGAGGGGGTGACACTGTTCAAACAGAAATGTATTTATTACCTGACTTGTGTAAACTGTAACCCCTCTGGACATCACCTTTACAACCAAAATAAAAAAAAATCATCCCATAAGGACTAAACAGTTTCCAGGACTTATCCAGCTCAAGAGAACATGCACACTTAGTTCTGCAGTGAAGTGAAACCTGCTCTGTGAAGAGACAAAGTTTGTAAGAAAAGTGCCCTGTCTTCATCATCTATTACAACTGTGAGGAGCAGTGTGGTACAGCTTATTCAATGGCCTCCGAGAATCAGGATCTAGGCTCGTATTTGGGCTTTGAATTCCAGGTCCTTCCCCCATTCCCCAGCTTAAAACTTCCATGGGACAGTCACTTCTTCTCACCCCATGCTAGAGGTCTGGACAATGTATAGTCGTGTGCATGCTGTAGATCACTCAGAGGAGTGTCACTGCACGGAAATCTTCCATGCTCTGTTTTTTTTTTTTTTTGGTCCCTATTTTTAAATCCCTATCAAAAAACTATGTTTAAATAAGTATTAAGCAAGTATTAAGTATTATAAAAGTATTAAGTTTTAAGCAAGATATGCCTGGTGTCCTGGCTACTCAGGCAGTTGAGACAGGAGCATCACCTGAGCTCTGGGATTTGTATGGTGAGCCTGGACAACACAGTAGGACCTCTCTCAAAACCCACAGATGTTCATAGGTTCCTAATCCTCTATGAGGTTTAATAGCATGTTCTGATGGCAGTTGTATAAAAAAATCGTAACAGGTTATTTCATACCACATGTTCTTTCTTTGAACCTTCTCAAACAAACATCATGATTCTGAGCTGGACACATTTTCAGTGCCCTCAGTTTTAGTCCCCTCTGCCTGTTCTAACAACGTTCAATCAAGGGGTGGTTTGTAGCAGACATTGATGTCTCACAGTTACGGAGGCCCTGTTGTCTGGATGACAGGCTTGTCCATCCTCAATGGGCAGGGAGCTCTCTCTGGGGAGTGTGGAGGAGGGCCCCAATTCTAATGGGAATGCTTCCACCCCCATTACCTTTCCTCTCACAATGGCCATGGTCTTCAGAAGTTAGCCTCAGAAATAAGATACCAAAAAATAAATTTTGGGTAAGACACAAACTAAAAATGCATGAGCCAGGTTTGGCTCCTGTTCATTTGTGTGGGTCTGAGTGTACCTGGGTGTGCTCACACATGTGTGCTCATATATACGTCTGCATATGTTTGCAATTGCCTATGTTTCTT